CACTTCAAATCCACACGAACACCGTACGAACGCGAAGGAAGAAAATAACGTAACGACTGGTGTCAGAAGAAAAAAAAACGTAACAATATATATATATATTGTTGATGAACTGATTATCAGTGTTATGATATTAATTTTTAGAGTGCATTTGTTTAATAATTAATTTCTGTCATTACAGTTGATAATTTTTCTATGTAAAAATATTTGTGTTTCTAAAAGAACCGTCTAGTTATTAAGACCCGTAAACTGTTGCGGCGAATCCCATTTTGCAGTAGAGAACTACTCAGCCTATAAAATTTCCTTCTTAAAAGCATAAAAAAAATCTTTTTCACTATTATTCGTTTCCAGTTAAGAAAGGGGGTAATTCTTTCGGAATACGGAATATTGTCAAAACTTCTAGTAAGCAATTTCAGGCTTTCTGAAGTTTGAAGTATATCTTACAATGTATAGAAGATTTCTAATATACAATATATACAAGATATTTACAATATATACAAGATACTTATACACAAGATTTCTGAAGTTTGTAGTATATCAGTTTTCTTGAATGTAAATAATTCATGTAAATAAATTACAGAATACAAATGATGATCATAGTCATAATAATAAACACTTTTAACGTTCAGGTGCTTTTTCCTGCGGTGGAGAAATTACTCAAGAAGGAAAAATAGAAACCCCTGGCTACCCATCTAGAACTCCTAATGAAAGCTGCACATGGCAAATAAAGGTAAATTTTGTGTTTCTGAGAGAAATAAGACATTCTAGACTTTTCGTAAACCAATTACTTTCAAGTCAATTTTGCCTAAATAAATGTCCATATTTTAGTAACTTTTTTTTTTTTTTTTTTTTTGCAAAACGTAACGTTATGTTTTGAAAAAAAGTGTCATCCGCTCAGCCTGGCAATTGGTCAAGGTATTGCCATTCCATAATGCATAAAATATTTTATTTATTATCGATGTGGCCTGGAAAACTGCTGTTTTAAGATGTGTTAATAGAGTATTCACATTTTCAATTTTTATTTCAAATTATAAATAATTACCGTCTTAATTTGGAAGATGAGTCAAATATTTGGTGACATAAAAGCTATAAGCGTACTCCTTAATTGTTAGATTATTGGAGACTATTGAACTACCAGAGCTCAACGATCTTATGCATTCGGCCACTAGCAGGCAGTTTCCAAAGAAATGCACGTAGATTAAGACTAAACGAAAAAGCATTAGCTGTATTTTTCATATTATTACGTTTATTTTTATTCGAAAGAGAAGCTGTTTTAGTTTATCCCTATTAAAATCATTTGGCAACTAACAGAAAATGAATTGAAAACAAAATGAAAATGGAATTAATATTTTATCTGAAATAATAACCACCACATTCTACAAGCATACAATATATCTCACATTCGCTTGTACAGTTGCGCGCCTCCAACCTATCTATCGTAATATATTTTTTGCCTATTTCTTGCCGTATCCGAGCTTTTAGCGCCTTTTATGTAGCCATCCCAGCGCTTGTGATGTGTGCTAACGTAACTCCGAATTATTTTTACAATGTTTTTATTAACTCTTTCTGCTATGTTTGCCTGTGGTTTATACGGAACCATTTTGATATGGCGTATGCCAAGTCCAGTGCCCAGTGCATATGTTTTCAAATATTTGACTAATGAATTTTTTACCGTTATCGCTAATGACTTTTATCGGTGCACCCGTATTTTTAAAATGTATCTGTGTAAGAATGCATCTGCGACTGTTTTGGCTGACGCGCGTTTAAGTGGAACAATTTCTGTCCATTTTGAAAAATGATCTACAATTACTAAAAGAAAACGATTTTATTTAACTCGCTCTGGGGGAAAGGACCACAGAAGATCTATGCCTAAAATTTCATTCGGAAATGTAGCGCGAATGCTATTTAAGTACCCCGGCCGGGCTGTAATTAATATCATTTATTAACTGACATTGATTGCAGGACCTGACATACGCAGTTACTATTTTGTATAATTGCGGGAAATATACCGCCTCGCGTACCCTTTTTAAAGTCTTCTGACCCCTAAATGACCGCGTGTTTTCGCGTCGTGTAATTCCTTCAAAATGCTTAATCGAAGCGAGGCTGGGATGACTGGTTATACTTCGAAGATTTTCGTTTGTTGTTTTCGTATAAAACAATAAATTATCTATTATTTCATAGTTTTCTGCTCTATTTCTTATCGCATCGATATCTGTGTGCTTCAAAGCTTTCGGGGTCTTTCAAATATGCATAGATACTTCCAAATTCAGGATCAGCCTTTCAATTCAGGCGAATAATTTGTATTCTCTAGAATCCTAAAATTTTTCAAAAATTTTAGATTCTAGAGAAACAAATAGTCAACACAGCGCATTTAAGTTCATTGCCTTCATTCGTCCAGTTTTATACGAGAAAGTGCGTCAGCTACATTGTTTTCCTTACCCGGTTTATATTTTAATTATGAGATTATATTCTTGGAAGTTTTAAAGCCCCATCTTATTAACCTGGGCGTTAGGTTTTTCCCCGAGTAAAGTCTCTACCAACAGCCGCATGATTCCGAAAAGACTGTTACTGGCGCTTTGCCGAAATAAACTCGAAATTTCTGTGTACAGCCATTAATACGGCTAATGTTTCTCTCTTCTGTAGCTGTATAATTCCTTTGCGTAGAATTAAACGTTTTACTAAAAAATGCCAAAGGAATGGCCCATTTTGCATGAGAACCGCACCTACGGCATAGTCCGACGCATCTGCTGCAATTTCCAGGTTTTCAGTCCCCCTTCCGGGAATTTCAAAACAGGGGCATTGATGAGTGCTTCTTTTAACCTTTCAAATGCAGTATTTGCTTCTGCTGTCCACGTAAATTTACTTTTCTTTCTTTTAATTACTAACAGTGGTTCAACAATATTAGCAAAATCTTTTATGAACGACCGATAGTAAGAACATAACCCAAGGAAAGAAGAAAGAAAGTTTCTTGGCGGTGTTGGGCGGTGGGGAAATTCTTGATGGCTTTTATTTTTGAATCCTGAGTTTCTATACCCTTTTGCGAAATTTTATAACCCAGATATTTAAGTTCTTTAGTTGCGAACTTGCATTTTGAGGCGTTAATTGTAAGACCGGCCTCTTTTAATAATTTAAACACTTCTTCTAGATCTTTAATATGTTGTTCCAACGTACTACTCGTTATAATTATATCATCTAGATAGATTAAAGTCGATTTTCCTAGGACAGGCTTTAGAACAATGTCCATAGCTCTCTGGAATGTTAATGGGGCCCCACACAACCCAAAGGGCATGCGTAAAAATGCATAAGTGCCCGATTTTGTTATAAACGCGGTTTTATGTATGTCTTCGGGTTTCATAGCTATTTGATAGTACCCAGACGTTAAGTCCAAAGTAGTCATGTATCTAGTAGATTTAATGTTTCTAATAATTTCCTCTATAACCGGCAAAGGGTAAACTGGGAATTTAGTAATACTATTCAGTTTTCTGTAATCGATAGCAAACCTCCAAGCCCGTTTATCCGAAGGAGGAAACTCGTTCTTTTCCTACATAGTACGACTGGACTCGCGTACTCACTATTTATGGGCGTTATTATTTTGTTCTTTAACATTTCCTGAATATGTTCTTCGATGATTAGGTCTTTTTGTTTACCATAACGATACGGTTTAGTCCTACAAGGGTTTTTTCGGCAGTTAACTGTATCTGATGCGTAACTATTTGACAGCTACCAGGCCTTTCTGAAAACAAGTTTGAAAAAAATTACTCACCACTTGCTGGATGGCTTGACTTTCATGGTCATTCAAATGGCTAAGGTCAACTTGCGGTTGTTCCACAGGTTCCACCACCCTCTGGTCCATCTCCAGCACAATAGAACTGTCCTGAAAATTCAATTTGGCCCTCGCGGCCCTTAAAACTCCATACCTAAAATAAGAGGATTTTGCAAATGTTTTACTACAAAAATTAATACTTTGAGGCTTTCCTCTTTTACCTGTATATTTAATGATAATTTCCCGATATAATTTCTGTGTTTTTGTTTTTAAATAATCGTAACCTATAAAAATTCTTTTTGAAAAATGTCTCACTCATAAAAATTACCTTCTGCTCCTGTATCGATGAGGGCTTGTACTGGTACATCGCCAACCAGGACTTGTATAATTGGTAGATGTGAGTTCTTTACGATGACCGTATTTAAATGTCTTTTTGAGGGTTTTTTTAAAACTTCCGGGGTCTGGACCCTCGCTTTCACAGGCCCCTCTACTCGTTTAAAGCTTTCCTTTCAACTTCTGCCTTCTGGGTACGCGGACGTTTGTTTTCGAATTTCCTTTTTGGGCCTTGACCTTCGAGGTTCGATGAGTTAGCTTGATAGCTCTTTCCCCCATAAGAGCGGTTTGCATTTCTGGTCTGCTCATTTGAAGATTGCCTTCGGGTACTTTGAGAATACGATGCGCCTCTAGCTTTTTCCGCTATTCTGCGATTGTGAAACTTCACCGTCAATTCGAAGAGCTCCTGCAATGTGCTTGGGTTTTCTAATTTCGAAGTAGTCTTGAACAGCAGGTAACAATCTTGGTAAGATTATTTCAATAATCTCCGCGTCGGGTTTCTTCCCATACAGCATATCCGTCAGTTTAATTTTCGCAGAATAAAGTCCGTCAACTCTTCTATATTCCGTTGATAGAAAACTATATAGTTCGGCTTCTAGCCTTGCTCGATCTTTCACTATGGGGAAGGCCTTTAATAACGATTTTTTTGAAATTTTCAAATGTATATGTCTGGCCTCCAAATTCCCCTAAAAAAAAATTTGCCTATATTCTTCCACCATAGCGCGGCCCTGTCCTCTTAGTGCAGATGTGGCGATGGCAACTTTTGTCTTTCAGGCACAGGGTAGAGCTGAATGAAAGTGATATGTCTAGGCGTTCTAGAAATATCGCCACCGAATTTTTTCCGTCGAAATTGACGTTTGGCTTGATTGACGCTCTCTTAAAGTCTGGACCAGGTATCCAAATCCTTCCAATTGGCTTGCCATTTCTTGTTGTTGTCCCGCGGCTTCCATCCGAATTTTCGGCCATTTCAGTTCGACAAGTGTTCGGGCGCCAATGTAAGTTGCGCGCCTTCCAACCTGCACGCAACAAGTGGTGACTGCTGAAAAACTGGATATTAGACAGAGTCTTGAGTAAGGGTTTAAGTCCCTTTTTATTCAACTTTAGAAATTACAAATGCGTGCTCTTGACGCTCACAAACTACGCCGACCCGGCGGTAAAATAAAAATAAGAAACTAAAAAGAGAAAATAACAAGAGACTAACTACGAGGCTCTCTAAACGTAACTAACCTCGCCGCGTTCTAAAGTACCGCTGATAATTCAGCAAACTCTGAATACCACGTTGAAAGATTAACAAATTGCCGAGGCAAGCACACAGGCCGAAACGCGTGGTTCTTCAATTTCTGACTAACTACCTCCGCGCTCGTGAAGTAAGAAAAGCGCACTTCGAACTCGTTTCCTTTCTATTTAACTCAGAATATTTCCGCTGATAATTTGAATCCTTGCGCGTTCTACTAAAATTTACATACTCTGGCATTGGCAGTTCCAGGGGAAAGTAAGGCTTGACAGGAAGGATAGTTTAAACTTAAAATAAATGTTAGTTAAAATAAATATAAACCCTACACGCTTATCATAGATACATATTTTCCTGAATGCAGAGCAATAAGTTATTTATGTGTGTTTAAAAATAACCATATTTCCTAAACCCATCCTTGTTAATTTATAGCAAATATTTCTTTCTGTTAAAAAACTTCCGTTTACTTCTTTTAAATTAATAGAAGTTTCTTATTGCGACTTTTATCTGTTCCTGAATTCTAATTAAGTCTTCCTGGCTATTACAAACATGAAAGTTCGTCACCCTTGCTCTGCATTATGACTTCTCAGAAGAAAGTAATTTTTAGAATATCTTTATAATAAAGCTTACATTTAATTTTGTAAAATATATGGACTCAAATTTTAAGCTTAGAAACTTCACTTTCGTAATTGTTTCGAAAAATTAAATGAAAAATAAACAGTGAAAATCAAAAAATTTTTAACTTTCTTATTTCCCTCTCTTTCTGGGTTATTCTATTATAAATTAATGACATATTTTTCAGGCACCAGCAGGTCGACGAGTACGTGTGACGTTCGAAGACTTCAGTTTTCGGCAAAGAATGGATAAGCCTTCTAGCCCGTATAATGGAAAATGTGTTTACGAGCAAGTGGAAATTAGAATTACCAACATGGACGAAGGACAGATGTAAGATGATGAATTATTCAGAGGGATTTAAAATGATTGATTTCAAATGACTCTGTTTTTGAAAAACACGAATAAGTAATTTAGTGGATAAAAGAATTTTCTTCTATGTTATTTTCTATAATTGATTTAAAACTAGGTAGAACGCACTTTTTCTTTACTTTTTATTATTTATTTATTTATTTATTTATTTTTGGCTCTTGAAAGAAGAAGACCTTGTTTTGACCACCCTCGAAATTAACAGATTTTTTTATTCAAAACGTACACTAAAATTAGATTCCTGCTTTAAAATTTTACATTGGTGTACTTCTCATCTAATTTTATATAATTGTTTTAGCTAAAGTGTTTTGTGAGAGTTCTTTTAGTTATGCCATTAAAAAAAAAAAGATAATAGTCTTATTCTCGCCGCATTTTTTCTATGTTACTTTTATCTATGTTTAGTCTCTACAATAAAAGAAATGGGAGTTTGTTAACAACTTTAGCTAAGGAACAACAATAACATTTCCTGCCAAAAAAAATTGCCTGATATAAGATGACCAAGAAAAAGAGACCACCACTCTATTTTCAACAAAATTTGTATAAACTTAAAACCAAATTTAAAAATTTCAGTCCAATTTGATACTCCTATATTTTTCTTTCCATTTTTTAATATAATTTTCTCTTCTCTGTGTGTTGTTGCTGGCCGTGATCGTATAAAAGTAATTCTGTGTTCTCACACTCTGATAATTTAATAATTTCATTTTCTCATTTCTAAGATTTAACCCTCCTTTAACTAGTATAATATTTTCTTGTTTTAAATATTTACTGAATGTGAATTTTTTTAATTCGAAAATAGTATTATTTTATCAGATCCTGGTTTTAAACCAAAATCTGTTATCTCGTTGCCGAAATTCCAAATCGTCTGGAGGAATTATGTAACTAATTTCAATGCTAAAGTATTAGAGTATTATAACTACTGCCTAATTTCAATTAAAAGCCTAAAGTATTATAACTACTGCCTAATTTCAATGCTGAAGTATTAGAATGTATTACATTTAACTGAAATCTCAGTTTCGCATGCTTAGCATTTTGAAGTAAATTTTATTTTTGTGCATACCATAGCAACTATTCGAAAGCCCCCTTATTTTCTGAAAATTTAGATGATTGACTAAAACTTTTACGCTTCAAGTTTCACTGAATTTCTTAATCAAAACTTGGACGCAACTAAACAAATTCGTACTGTCACTGTTGCTGCTCAGTGTCGAAACTCGAAACATTAACGAAATGTCTTTATGATGCATCGAAGAATATTCATAAGACTAGACATAGTATTAATAATAATAATTATAATAATGATGATTCGACGGCAGATATTAGCCCGTTTTAAAAAGAGACTACGAAGTGATTTTGTAAAGAACGAAGATATGAATCAACGAAACTCAAAATCATTTTCAGATCTTTAGACATTTTCTAATCAAACAGGTTAAAGGTAACATTGCACCTTACTGAAAATCAAATGGTTATACGATGTAGGCATACCTCAGAAACAGTTCGTTTTCCAAGTACTTTCAAAATCACTTCTTGATCCTGAATGCTAATCTTTACTAACTGCAATAAAATAGACTTATTTAAGTATCATATAAATGCCTTTCGTATTCTTCAGCTACCATCCAAAACTTATTAAAATACACATTGCTCTTTTATACTGATATAAGTTCTTTCACATGGAAAATAAACAGTAATATAATATTCAGTTCTTAAATCCCTTGCTCGCTGTTTCAGATTCGTACGCAATATTACCAGGACTGTGGAGTCGGAGTCGGAATCGGAGTTAGTCAGAATTTTTGGGTAAAAGGATTCGGACCTGGAGTAGCTAAAAACAAGTCGACTCCGAATCCGACTCCAGCTTTTGATGGACAGTTTCAATTTGAAATTGAAATGAAATTGAATTGTGAATTGAAAAAAAAATGACAAACTGAGTTATTATTTTTTGGACTATATACATTAATAATATTTAGTTATTTTCCATTTGATTTACATATTAGTAAATAAATATAAGAGAAGAGGGTGGATGAGATATTCGCCATTATTCATTAAACTGAATCATTTAGTTAATTCTACAGCTCTTAAGTGGCATTACTGGTGCATAATTCACAATAAGAATGCATCACATGCTGCCATCGTGGCTGCAAAATGCATCACAACTGCAAATCTCATTGGTGCCTATGCTGCAAATCTCATTGTTAAATTTAGGAAGGCAGTGATAGCAACAAGGACTCCCAAAAGTGATGATATTGTTAGGAGGTGAGCAGAAAAAGGAGCAATTACTAATCAAGCAACGCGATGGAGAAGTATGTATATATTTGATGATAAAGAGGTTGTTAGGATTAAGAACTTTTTAGAAGATGTAGATAACCCTAATGTTTCACTAACAGAAAAACTGTGGAATGATCTTACAGAATTGGAAACTCTTCTTTCTACACCGTATATAGCAAAAAAAGTTACAATCTGAAGAATTAACAGGAGGCTTGTTTCTGCGAGAATTGAAAAATATGATGTTCTAAAATAGGACGGCTTATTGTAGAAGAAATCCTTTCCTCAATGAAGAAAAGAGAAACTAATTTGTTAGACAATGATATCTTGATGGGTTCAATATGTATAGATCCAGAACACCGAATTTTGTTGGATGACAAACAAATTAAATTCTCAGAACAACTGGAGTATCCATATCAAGACAGTTAGACTGCATACATTACAGCTGAGTCTCTATCATCCTCTTCCATTGATTAATTAGATTTGGGGAAATATTTGGATAATATTGAAAAGGCTAAGGCAAAGGCGAATGAAAATAAAGAACCAAGAGACTTTAGATATAAAAATGAAAAAATGAAAAAAAGATTTCTACACAGCCCTTAAAGAAATAGAGAAATGTGTTCGCTCTTGCAAGACACCTCTTTTAGAACTTATACAAATTTATCCTGAAAAGTTAAAAGAAGCAGCCCTAGCAGTAACAGCTCTTCCTCCTACTGAAGTTGATGTGGAAAGATTATTCTTAGCTCTGAAGTTTATCAAATCGGATTTACGGTCCTTTATCAAAGAAGTTCTTGCCGAAGCTACGCTATTTCTTAGAAATTACTAATGCCAGTTTTTCCATTTCATAATAAAGGCTCATTAATATAAATAATCTGCTGTGCCATAATTTTTTTCCTGTAGCATCTATTACTTCTTTTATATTTAACAAAAATAAGCTGTAACGCATGTGTATATGTTTATATATACACTGAAAAACCACTGAATTAGGGATAGCTAGTCAATAACGAGTTGGGCCTTTTCTGGGCTTTATAATGGCTGTCAAACGACATAGCATAGATTGAATAAGTTTCTGGAAGCGTTCTAAGGGAATGGCTTGCCACACATCGGATAGAGATGTCTATAATTTAGGAAGACTCGCTAGTGTTGTGTGATGAGGTTTTAAACCTTTCGCCAAAACGTCCGAAAGATGCTCAGTAGAACTTAAGTCATAGCTTTTAAGTATTCAATTTATGATAGAGAAGTCAGAAGAACGCTCATCCAACCAAGCAGTAGCCAACCGGGATCTGTGAGAGGTGAAGTTATCTTACTGAGATACTCTTTCCGTGTGAATGACAGGACAACATAAATGGATGGAGATGATCGCCCAGCAATTCTACGTACTGAATCATATTGAGGGAAGTTGGAACAAGTACCAAAGATCCCAAACACTGTCAAGAGAAAACACCTTAGACCATGATTAAGCCACCATGACTTTGTACAGTTCCAATCTGCCATACAGAATTCATGGCTTCTTGAATCTGACGCCATATTCTCAGCATCTCATCGGTATTAATTAGTCGGAATCGAGACTCATTACTCCTTGCTACTCATTTCAAGTCCATTAGAGTCTATTCTCTTGCCCAGGTAAGAAGTGCAGCTCGATGGCACGCATTCGGCAAAGGTACTCTCGTGAATCTACGGCTTCCGAAGCCCATATGGTGAAGCGAGCGTTGCACGATCCTTTTACTGACTGTACGACTGTCACCATATGGTGAAGCGAGCGTTGCACGATCCTTTTACTGACTGTACGACTGTCACCATATGGTGAAGCGAGCGTTGCACGATCCTTTTACTGACTGTACGACTGTCACAATATGGTGAAGCGAGCGTTGCACGATCCTTTTGCTGACTGTACGACTGTCACCATATGGTGAAGCGAGCGTTGCACGATCCTTTTACTGACTGTACGACTGTCACCTTGATTCAGCTGAGTGTTAATTTGAGATAATGTTTGGCTTCGTTGACTATGTACAATACGGCTGGGTCGTCTCACACTACACTTGTTCTGGGTTAATTGCCCTTTCCAATTTGCCCGATCGCAAGTTCTTTTCCCCACCACCCGTATAGTCTCGGTATACGCTTGACTCTGTCAACCTTGAAAATTCTAGACCGCTGAGGATTTTGGAAACTGAATGGTCCAAGCGTCGAGTGCCTACTATCTGTCCGGGATCGAAGCTGTTTAAATCAGAAGTTGTACTCATACTGGTTATTGAAAAGCCTGATTAACAACAACCAACATCTATATTTAAGCTATATCTGCATTTACCTCAAGTTCCTCACGTGAGCACAGATGCGGTTCAGCACTATAAAATTTGAATGGTCATGTCTATCCCTAATTCAGTGGCACTTCAGTATATGAGGAAATCGGAGTCTTTAAAGTTCTAGGTGTCAGAACCGGAGTCGTCATTTTCCCTACCGACTTCACAGTCCTGAATATTACTATGCATTTTCCTTAACACCAAGCAAAATTTGTTGAACCTATTTTTATGCATTTTTCATCATACCTAATAATTATTTCTACCCCCTATTCATTACAAACTTATAAGTATATTTACTAATACTTGTTATCTTTCAGCTACGCAAAATGCTCATGATATTCCTTATCCACCGTTTTTCAGTTTGTAACTGTAAGCTACGTATTATAAATATTAAATTTAAACTGTAACAGATGGTGTGAGTCATTTTTCAGGCAGAACATCTGCTCTAGGCTACGTGATGAGAGATTCACGCAAATATAAACCTTCTTTTCTTTTCACGTGTCATGTCACACAACGAGCTTTGGTTACAACTTGGAACACTCCAAGCGAGCAATGTAGCTAAAGTCTCTTGTTTTTTATTCTTTTGTGTGTGTTACTTCTTTAACAAATGGATGTTCCTTATGCTTAATTGTCTTAATTATTAGCCTGAGATATCTCAGTTATATTGAGAAGAAACGAGTGTTATAAAACATATTTATGAACATATTTTTTGCAGCTATTGTGGTGAAGATATTCAGAAAGGAACAATAATGGAATCATCCTCCAACACATTTCTCATTATTATCCGAGCAGACACAAAGGCACAAGGAAGGGGTCTCAAAGCATCCGTCAGATTCGTCAAATAATTTATTTTGAATTTTTTGTAATGTTTTTGTACTTTCATAATAAAATTATTTTGTATTTTTATATATTCGATTTTTTTATCATTATTAGTTGTAGCTTTCATGCTGGTAAATGAATCGAAAAAGCACATACTGAATTTCAAACATTCTGTTCTTGCAGTCCGATTAGAATGAGTAATAAAAAAAGCTGATGTGTACACCACATGACTTCCTTCTACGGAATATTAAATTATACTCATTTTTCTTGCATTTCATTTAAACTTTTTGTATTTAATTAAATCTACTTCGCCGACAGCGAAGACACAATAGAATAAATGCATTCTTTAAAATTCACTCTATTTGTTTACCATAGCGACGCTCTGGTGCTAGGTTCACTTAAGAGTATTATATTTCGTTCATATTATAACTCAGAATGCACAAAATTTATATCATTTAAAGAATTATCTAATCGTTGCCACATGTACTAATTAAAGATAAAGCTAGAACGATGTATAAAAGAAATTAAGCAAACAAAACGAAAAAGAACAGTTTTTCATAGACGATTGAGAATTTTTCATTCAATTAATTCAGTTCTCACTTCGCGACAAGGAAAAATACATAAAAACTCAAAATATCTATATTAAAAATTAAATTACTAATTATTAAAAATTAAGTAAATCTTAAACACTTATTTCCTCGACAAAATTCCAGAAAGGATTAAGCATGATTTAATTCGCAATAATAAATGAAGGCGTTATCTTTGTTGTTGTGAAGCTACGTTTCTCTAGATTGGCTGCAAATCCACTACTCTGCTGCTTCAAATGTAAACAAGTAATAACCGCCATCAAAAAAATTATTAGGCTTAGCGGCACTTAAACAAGTTTTAAATTGTGGATAATTCTAAAAATATTGCATTACTAAAGGCATAAAAACCTTAACCGGAAGATAAGAACAACATAATTCAATCATTTTTAAAGCAAAAAATGTACAAATTCAGAAGAACAACAAAAATCAGCGTTATATTTACAAAATTTTCACAGGACTAGTTTCGATGGTTTTACCGAACCATCATCTTCAGCTGCAAAACCGCAAATGAACAAGATAGGAAATAATGATTAGATAAGATAAGAAAGCCTGGACAAGAATAAGCAAATGGCGCCATCTGTTGGCGAAACGAGAACTAAAACATAATTTCTCTAAAAGCCGAAGGCAAATTTGGATTGGAATTAGGATCGTTAACTAGAACAGAAAGATTTTTATGAATGTGAAATGCCTCTAGAAAATCCAGTTCTCCAATGGAAGATGTTTTTTGAATAATTTTGGCAGCAGAAAAATTGAAAGTGTGATTTTCGGACCAACAATGTTGAGCTACAGAAGACTTCTGTGTTTCCTTTTTTCTAACATATGCCTCATGTTCTTTGACGCGAAATTTTAAGGCTCTCTTAGTTTGGCCAATGTAAATTAAACCACACTGGCAAGGAATGCTATAAATACCCCAGGAATTCATATCTGGAATGGGATCCTTGAGTATAGAAGTTGGAATTTTATTGATGAGAGAATAAACAACCCGAAAGTTAAATTTCTGCAAAATATGTGCAACTTTATAGCTAATTGGTGGAAAGAAGGGAATGACAACAGAATTTTATAATCTCCTAAAAGAGTGTGGCTTTTAGTGTGTTGAGATGAGAATTTTTAACTGCTTGATTAATAATGTTGGGTGAAAACCCCTGTCAATAGGTATTGCTTTTAAATAATTTAGTTCTTCATCAAGGGCTAGTTTGGAGGAGCAAACTTGAAGAGCACGGAAAACATAGGAATAAAATGAAGCTAACTTTTGTTTAGTCGGATGACATGATTTAAAGTGTGGTAGAAGGCAAACAGAATTCTGTTAAATTGCAAGCTTGCCTTACTTCGGTCCGTGATAAGGGATACACGTCAACAATTGTCCAAAATTGAACATGAACTCTATAAGCTTCATCTGGAACTCGCTAAATCATATCCAAAATTCACTGCCCTTGAAAAAAAGTCTTGGTCTAGAACGGAGAATGCAGTTAACCGTCATAAAAACACCCTTGCAGTTAAATTGCAGTTAAATTCGAAAAACTTCTTTTACAGTCTTCCAGTTCAAGTAGCTTCAAAAAATCTTCCCATTGTAAACATCAAGCCAATAGTTAATATTTCTAATGTTAGTCTTTCAGAAGAACAAGAGAGAATTCTAAAATATAATTTTAACTTCTCACAAACCTGTAAACCCTCGGATTTCAAAGATTTTGGCTCCTATCGAAAAAGCTTTCAAGTTCAGTAAAGTTTCAGATTCACAGAAAGAAATGATTAGGCATCTTATCGCTCATAATGTGAAATTCAATAATAAACCTTTGAAACCAAATCTAACTGCGAGAGAAAGAGCTACAATGCGCGAAATTCATTCTAACCCGGATATTATCATTTCAAAGGCCGACAAAGGTGGCCAGATAGCCGTCATGGATCAAGAACACTTACATCGATGGTGTCACTAAACTCTTAAACGAAGGACCATATAATCCGATCCCTAAAGATCCTTCACCTTCGGACTTATCCAAAATAAAAACTGCGATCAAATCTTCTTCGCAAATCATTTCAAGCAACTTAAAACATTCGCTTATCCCATCTGTTGCGAATTGTGCCAGATTATATGCTCTTCCCAAAATTCATAAAAGTGGTATTCCTTTCCGCCCTATTGTATCAAATTTAGGTACTGCCTCGTATCCATTAGCTAAATATTTAGTTTCTAGATTTTCCACTCTATTAGACAATAACATTTACACCATAAAAAATTCAATAGAGTTTGTAAAAAAGGTTAAAAACATTTCTCCTAGTAATTTACTCATGGTTTCTTTTGATGTAAAATCATTATTCACCAATGTCCCAGTGGAGGGTGCATTAAGATGTCTAGAAACCAGACTTCGCGAATTTCATTTCTCTTGCATCGAAATTGATGAGCTAATTTCTCTCACTCAACTCTGTTTGAAACAAACACATTTTGTTTTCCAAAATAAATATTACAAGCAAACTGAGGGATTAGCCATGGGAAGCCCCCTCAGTCCCATCCTGGCTGATATCTACATGCATTATTATGAATCAAAATTGTTTGAAACTTTAAACTTCCCGGCATGGTTCCGCTACGTAGACGATACTTTTACCCTGTTTGAAGGTAATAAAGATGTTTTAAATAAAGTTCTTTTCAACAATGAATTCCATTGATCCTGCTATTCAGTTCACTTTTGAACTTGAGACTTTCATTCTCTTCCGTTTCTCGATATTCTGGTCACACGTAACACATCCAACTTCAGTACTACAGTTTATCCGTAAACCTTCATCGGTTTGCCTTCCACCACACTTTAAATCATGTCATCCGACTAAACAAAAGTTAGCTTCATTTTATTCCTATGTTTTCCGTGCTCTTCAAGTTTGCTCCTCCAAACTAGCCCTTGATGAAGAACTAAATTATTTAAAAGCAATAGCTATTGACAGGGGCTTTTCACCCAACATTATTAATCAAGCAGTTAAAAAATTCTCATCTCAACACACTAAAAGCCACACTCTTATTTTAGGAGATTATAAAAATTCTGTTGTCATTCCCTTCTTTCCATCAATTAGCTATAAAGTTGCACATATTTTGCAGAAATTTAACTTTCGGGTTGTTTATTCTCTATCAATAAAATTCCAACTTCTATACTCAAGGATCCCATTCCAGATATGAATTCCTGGGGTATTTATAGAATTCCTTGCCAGTGTGGTTTAATTTACATTGGCCAAACTAAGAGAGCCTTAAAATTTCGCGTCAAAGAACATGAGGCATATGTTAGAAAAAAGGAAACACAGAAGTCTTCTGTTGCTCAACATTGTTGGTCCGAAAGTCACTTTCAATTTTTCTGCTGCCAAAATTATTCAAAAAACATCTTCCATTGGAGAACTGGATTTTCTAGAGGCATTTCACATTCATAAAAATCTTTCTGTTCTAGTTAACGATCCTAATTCCAATCCAAATTTGCCTTCGGCTTTTAGAGAAATTATGTTTTAGTTCTCGTTTCGCCAACAGATGGCGCCACTTGCTTATTCTTGTCCAGGCTTTCTTATCTTATCTAATCATTATTTCCTATCTTGTTCATTTGCGGTTTTGCAGCTGAAGATGATGGTTCGGGAAAACCATCGAAACTAGTCCTGTGAAAATTTTGTAAATATAACGCTGATTTTTGTTGTTTGACTTCTGAATTAGTATTTATTCGGCGTGTTATTGTTTCTTAAAAAATGTACAATTTACAAACATATAAGAGTAAAGAAGCTGAGATTACTGAGCCGGGTAACAGAGTGGATATATTTATAAATATATTTATATACGTTTGGCGCGGCCGATTGCAACCAAAATGCGAGGTGCACATCTACATGTTATAGCAGTCGTATATACAAAATTTCAACGTTCTAAGGCTACTCGTTTTTGAGTTATGCGAGATGCGTACGTACATACGTTCGTACAGACACCAGGAAAAATTCTCTTCAGAATTCATTTTAAAGCAGTTTTATAATTTTTTTGGAGATAAAGAGTCTTTTATTCTGTCCTTACGTACAGATATCACGCAGAAACATCGTTAAATTGCATTCGAAAGTGGTCAAAATGGATATTTTCGTTGAAATATGCTGTCTGAAACGTTTCGCGATTACAATACTTCCTTTTTACTTTGTACAAGCAAGTAAAAAGCGTGTTACTTCTGTTTCGAAAACTTAATAAAAAAAGTATGATTTGAAATTTTTACAAATTTTCCGTAAAGGTGTAAGATTTAAGTACTAAATACAAAATAAAAGTCAAAAATAAAAAACACTGTTTATTTAAAATACACTACTACTCATATTTTTTAAGTACGCTTTAATCAGAATACCTGAAAGGCTTAGCTCTATCTCAAACAGCTATAAAAATCCCAAGAATTAATATACTTACTATGGTGTGTATTCATTAGGCAAAGCGATTTTTTTCACAAAATTTTAAGCTGGTGGCTAGCTAGCTTAGTAGGTTGCAGAATCGTTAGGTTAATTTGAAGAAGATGTGAAAAATGTCCAATGCCCTCGCCGGGGCTCTAACCTGGACCTCTCAAATACGTTCCTAGTGTGCTTACCGTTACACCACGAAGGCATGCTGGAAGGAGGAAGAAAATGTCCATAAGACAAACTTGTTTGGTTGGGTGGTTCGGGCTGTGCCGAGTTCTGTTACCTTCTATATTCCTCCTTTTAAACAGCGACTGGAGATTAGGGAACTCAGTCGCCAAATTATGGTGGTGAATAATCATCATCCGCCACCTTTTTTAGTTCGGGCGCCACTGTAGAGTCATTAGGCTTTTTTTGAAGGAGTACATGAAAAATGAGCAAAGCCCTGGCCTCGACTCGAACCTGGACCACTCGAATACGCGCCAAGTGTGCTTCCGTCGCACCATGAAGGCATGCAAAAAGAAGGGAGAAAATACCTAATAAGATGCATCAGAGTAGTTTTTCTGTCTTAATGTCATCTAGATGTCTGTTTTTGATTACTTACAACTGGTTTAGACAATATATTAGGATTATTGAACTAATTCTAAGCTTGTTTCTGCGAGAAGAGGAAGTTACTTTTGCATCATTTTTAAGTACGTTTTACATTTCATCATTTACCTTACGAAAAATGGATATAACATCTAGTAAAGAGAGCAAAGATTATCGCACGTAACACATTCATGACTGTAACAAATATTGCTTTCCCGGCTGGTTTTGAAGAATTGAGTATTTCTCGAATTCTCTGGAGACACAACGAATCTGGATGATTTTCTTCCAAAAGGAAGGGCAAACGTAAGAGGAAATAGAAAACAACTCCAACATCTGATCGATTCCCACTCCCAAGACCTTAAAGAGAAATCTATTAGCTAACTGGTATTCATATTCATGCTTCGGACATTCAACGTAGACTTCTCACTGCTGATTGGAAGGCTAGAAATCCTATTAAAAAGCAACTTTTGACACATCAAATGATGCAAAGTGGGCCGAAAAGATACAAATCTTGAACCACAATTGAATTGGGGAAAAGACATTTATTAAAATAAAACCGATTTATTTGTTCATGGTTACACACCTAACATTGTTAGACGAAGCAAGGGTGAATCAATAAGAACTCAACTTAACCGACAAACCGTAACATTTGAAACAAATCTCAAAATTATTCATTCTAAACATATTTTGATCACTTAAGTTTAGTTTAGTTTAGTGACGGAGGACGTGGGCACCACCCCTTTACCATTATGGTTAATTGGTTTAGCGCCACGTCCACCCTTATCTAAAGCTGACTCATGTTAGAGCCACACGAGATCCACTTATAGGGCACATTGAAATGTTGAAGTGACAGTTATCAAAATATATTTATGGTGAATAATTTTTTGAGATTTGCTTCAAATGTCAAAATTTGCCCTCACGGCTCTTGTGTTAAATAAATTAATTCAAATGCTATTTAATTAATTTCGGTTTAATTTTGCACTCTTTCTAATTTTGTTAATAGTGTTTATTCGTTCCAACCTTGTACAGCTCTGGTTTAAGTGCTGTACAGAGTGACTTTTATTTAGGAAGAAAATAAATCAAGAAATAAAATAAATTAGCAAATATTATACTCATTTCACTAGTTTTACTTTGGTTTGATTCCCACTGGATTTGTGCTCAACATGTGAATTGATAACATCAAGTGTTTTCTGAAACGAATGAGCGATAATGGTAAAATTTTTGCAAAATTATTAGGAATGGAACATTCGAATCCTCTTATTCTGAATATCTTAAAATATTCAAGACTTGTAAAATAAAACCTCCGTGCTTTTCTGATCCATCAAACTTTTCGTATTATACCTAAAAATCTTATGTGTGCACCACATGACTTCCTCATACGGAATATTAAATTATATACATTTTTTCTTGCATTTCATTTAAACTTATTGGATTGAATTAAATCCACTTCGTCGGTAGCGCATAAACCAGAATAGAATAAATGCACTCTTTAAAATTCACTATATTTGTTTACCATAGCGACACTCTGGCGCTAGGTTCACTTAACAGCGTTATATTCCGTCCATATTATAACTCAGAATGCACAAAATTTATACCATTTGAAGAATTATCTAATCGTTGCCATATGTTCTATTCAAATACTATAATAAATCTAAAACAATGTACAAAAGGAATTAAGCAAACAAAACAAAAAAGAAACAGTTTTTCACAGAAGATTCAGTATTTCTCATTCAATTAATTCAGTTCTCTCTTCGCAACAAGGCAAAGATACATAAAAACTCAAAATATCTATATTAAAAATTACGAAGTAAATCTGAAACACTTATTTCCTCGAAAAAATTCCAGAAAGGATTAAGCAGGATTTAATTCGTAATCATAAATGAAGGCGTCAATCTTTGTTTTTGCGAAGCTTAGTCTCTCTAGATTGGCAACAAATCTACTATTCTGCTGTTTCAAATGTAAACAAATAGTATGTCCGCCATGTTATTTAAAACTTAAGGCGTAACCGCACTTGAACAGCTTTTACATTGTTGATAATTGTACAAATATTACTTGCAGATTTACTAAAGGCATAAAAACCTTTAACCGGAAGATAAGAACAACATAATTCATTCATTTTTAAAGCAAAAACATGCACAGTTTACAAACATATAAGAGTAAAGAAATTGGATCACTGAGCATGGTAACAAAGTAGATATATATATAATATATATATATGTTTGGCGCGGCAGATTGCAACCAAAATACGATTTGCACATCTACATGTTATAGCAGTCCAATATACAAAATTTCAGTGTTTTGAGGCTACTAGTTTTCGAGTTATGCGAGATACGTACGTGCGTACTTACTTACAAACGCCACGAAAAATTCTCTTCAGAATTCATTTTAAATCAGTTTTATAATTTTTTGGAGGAACAGAATCTTTCATTCTGTCCTTACGTACAAATGTCACGGAAAACCATCGTTAAATTGCATTCGATAGCGGTGAAAATGGGTATTTGCGTTGAAATATGATGCCTGAAACTTTTCGCAATTATATTAGTTTCTTTTTACTTCGTACAAGAAGTAAAAAACTGTTAAACCTTTTTTATTCAAAGCTTTCGAAAATTTTTCTTTATTGACTCTCAATAGAAGGGTTAATAAAAAAGAGCATGATTGTTACTATTTCACTGGTTCCCGAGTCACCTGGATTTCTATTATCTTTTAAATTTTACTCTTTCTTAAAATAAATAAGTTTTTTCCTTTCATTCTTGACGAAAATTTAGCGTTGCATAATTAGTGGTTACCTACATTAATTCTTGAAATAATCTTCTCACCCTATATGCTTGCTTTTTATTTTAATAAACTCCTAAGACATGTACAAAATTTGAACTGTTATTCTATTCTTTATCAATCATATTGAGAAAATTAACTCATAAAACATTTAACCTTAAGTAAAGATTTTCTCTCTTTTTATTATTATTATTATTATTATTATTATTATTATTATTATACAAAGGATGTGAGAAACTCAGTATTTGAGAAATACGGCGAGGATTCGAGAATATTTCAGGATTCATAACCATTTCTAAAAATATTTTTAATCTAAAATTCTTAATATTATAAATACTTTTAATCTAAAATTCTTATAAAATTCTTAGCTAGTTAAATCCTGTTCTTAAGTACTTTCGTATCTGTTTTTCCTACCAAATGTACAATTTATGCATAGTAGTAGTACATGAAGAAAAGCATAATGAGTTATCAAATACTAAGTGGAGAATTTTATCAGCATTTTTGTTTTTCTTTTTTCTTCGAGCGCATGGTTTTGGAAGAAGAAAAAGAGTAACGACTTATGCCATTCAAGTTTTTATTTTTTATTTATGCGAGTATGAACTGGTATTGCTAGTTGGGCGCTTCTTTCAGAGGCCCCTTGGGCTGTAATATGTTTGCAACGAAAGTTCAGTGTTAACAAACTTCGTGAACTCACTGTAAATACTCCATGCTTGTCGGGCTTCTGTTGTGCATTGTAAATAAGTTATAACTTCCTACTCTTACTTTTATGGCATTTACCTCAGGATATATTGAATAATTTAGAAAGTACGTTATATTGTAAACTTTTTGTGTATTTTTATAAGTGTGTGTTTTTTGTGCCTTGATTTCTGTTAATATAAACTTTAAACTCAAAATTGAATATAGTTTTTAATGTCTTAAAATTTAGGAAAATAAGACCATATTATTAATTTTATTTTAATTTAATTCAGTTTTTATAAAAAATATTTACTGTTTAAATGCTTGCAATTTAGCAGCTTGCATAAGCAGCATATGGAATTTAAACAATTTTTTTGGAATAATTTCATTTATTACCGTCTGCTCTTAATACATAATTATGATACATGTGAACTATTTTAAGGATCTGGTTATATTGTATTGTTTCATTCTCTGAAGTCAAATAGTGGTATGCTGAAGATTAAATTTAATTCTGATACGTATCTTGATTGAAATTCCTGCAGACATATTTTTAAAAAAAATTCTGGTATTATGATATTTAAAATAAATTAGCTTTAATTTTAAATGCATATAAAAACTGATTGACTTTCCTTCTGTTTATAAAGACTGACCATTTAAAGCAAATGTTAAAAAGAAAATTACTTTCAGCTAAAATTGTTTTTACATTGAATCAGAACAGTTTATTTATTGTATGTTCTTAGTTTTTTTGGCCTTTGCTAATGAATAACTACTCACATTCAGAAAATTAATTTAACTTTCAAATCCTAATTTCTATGCAAATAAGTTCGCTATTTTACTTAACAAAGTGTAAACATCATTTATTTTTATACTTATCAAACTTTTTACTTTGAATCAGAGCAGTTTATCTGTGGTATGTTCTTCAGTTTTTTCCCTTATTATGTAAATTTTAAAAAAATAAATTGCTAATAAATAACTATTCACATTCAAAAAATTAATTTAACTTTCCAATCCAAATTCATATGCAAATAATTTCGTTGTTTTACTTAATTAAGTTGTGAAAATTATTTATCTTGATACTTATCAAACTTTTTATTCTACACATACTAAATTTCAGCATTTTTTATTGTAATAATAGTTTAATTTCGTTTCTTTTAACAAATAAATTGTTTCATAGTATGAAATGAAGAGTTTCAAATTTGCTACACTTCTAATAGCAGGGTAGCCAAATTAGATCTGTCATTTCTACTTAATATAATTAGATTTATTGTAATAATATATAGGCGCTTATGCTATAACATCAATTCCTTTGTGTAGAAAGCAGTTTTTGTTCAAGGGTAGAGTTTAGCAGTTTTTATAACATTATTTTACTTTAAAAGAGATATAATATTAGTTTTATGAGGCTGTAATAATAAGAAGAAAACACGTGTCTTTGTTTTATCTTTTAACCGGTATTGTATTCTGTTGAAAACTTATCCTTCAGTGCTTGAAGCATCGAGTCCTCCGTGGCCTGCCCTGCTATCGCTGATGGATGGCATGTTAGATTTACTGCTGACAAATCGTCTAGCTATTTCACCACTCTAATCTTCGAGCCTGACTATTCGGAGGTGTGATCACTCAGCTTCCCGGTAGGTGGTTATCCGTCCTTTCTAGAACTCCCTCAATTACCGGAGCTCTCGTTGGGTGGATCTCCGAGACATTCTTTTTGGCTACATTCAACAGTACTATCCTTGAGAAAAGGGTCCAAATTTACACGGCAGGCGAGTTCTGAGACTTTGATTTTTGCTGGCTTTTTCCTTTCCAGTGCACCGTACACAAGTTCTGGACATTCAGGCTGAAGTATATACATCTGAAGCGTCGTTACGTTTCACAGATGGTAGATTGGCGTTTATTACCAAACTGTTGAAGGCCTGAATTTTGGCTGGACTTCGAATGCTCAACTTCCTGTTTCACAAGCAGGTGGCATTCACTTGCTGAAATACCCAAAGCCAGAAAGCAGTTCAGATAAATCCTGCTTATGAAGGAACCTCAAAACTTCAGACTTGATAACACGACAGTCTGACATTAGTCCATTAAATCAGTAACTGGAAGAGTGTATGCTTTAGACACCTTTCTGTTTGGCACAAGAATGAAATAGATCCCACCCGGTTGCAGCGGCAATCCTTTCTTCAACGAGAGTTGTAACTTAAACGGTAGGTAGCGAAATAACTTGAACTGAGGCAGTAGGGGAATTTAAATTCGGAATTTTATTGATCCTCGGATAGAGTGATCTTACTTTTTAGATATGCGAAAATGGCAAGCTTTCAGCTATCCACTGAACTATCTGTCCATTACCACCAGTTTTCGTTATATTTTACTTAAAAATTATTGCAAAATGTCTTTTAAAAATATGTTAAACATTGCTTAAAGCTCTTATATTTACTAGTTTAAGAGTTGCAATATGATGTATTCAGAGTAATCAGTGTGATCAGTATCCATATATTAGTTAGCCATTTCATCATCAAAAACAAGGTGAACTACACAGGCGAACGGCTTTTCACTCGCGAGAATTGCTGTCTTAAATATGTTATATGTACTGAGATGGGGAATATTTTATGCGTAATTTACTTTAGAAAGGAGGAAACCATTTATATGTATGCTTGCATCTCGTTCATAATTACTTTTGCAAAGATATAATCATTCGTAATCTTTTAAATACTTCTTCTTCATTCTTTTTCCTCTAGAATCCTAAAATTTCTGCCTCATGGTTTTCATTATGGGAAGCATTCGGAGTAATGTTTTTCTTCTGCTGACTGTACTTTTATTTTGGGTAAGTTATAAAAATTCCTCAAAAACATTTATACATGTTTAAAAAAATATAAAGGCAAAAATTTACTTATATTATAATATTTATTTTTTAATTTTTGAAATGATTTTGAGAGAAAAATGTTTTAACAAAAATTTTCATATAAAATTTTTTTAATATTTTTTAGTCCCTCCCATCCCAGGGGAATGTCTTATAAAATTTATTATTATTATTATTATTAAAAATAATATAACGTTAGATCTATGTAACGATCTTTTAAATCTGCGGAATAATTTTAAATATTCGAAGCAATACTAATTAACGTTATTTAAGATCAAATTAAATACAATAATGCATCGCTATATATTCATAAAAATCGCATATATTCTCTTGATTTATTTTCAGCCAAATTTTATTTTTTGTGTTCAATCTTACCTCCCAGGTTTACGAACTGTGAAAGGGAGAAAATGTCTCCAGAGGGCAGAACTATACCAAAAAAGAAAACTAGTAAGGGTGTTCTCGCTTTTGTGGCTTGAGTATTCAAAACTTATGAGGGTTATGATATAAATATTACAATCCTAACATTATAATGTGTTTAGACATTTTATTTAGTGAGTGTGAGTTATATTAAATTATCACATTGTTTGAAATATAAATTTAAAGAATAGTGGTTCTGTCTTCTCCATTCGATCAGTCATCCCAAAGAACTACCAAAGACTGGGTTCTAGGACTCTTTTAACAACTTTATGATTTTTGTTAAAATTATGCAGACATCGAAAGCAACTGTTTTGAAAAATACAAATGAAAAAGCATTTTGTTATGTTTTTATGAATGAAAAAATTTTGAAAGCTTTTCAATGATATTTTGAATGTAAATATCGTACAAACGAGTATATTATGTAGTATAAGTAGGTATAGTTCGACCCTCTCAAGCGCAACCCTGGTTGGCGTTCTGCCAAAAAACATAGACTCGCCCAAAAGGGGTGGTATTACTCGCTGCGACGTGAAAGGTCTTCTCTTCTCCGAAAAGAGCTATGCTGAAGGGAAAGAAATTCCCGATCCTTCCACTCTATTTTGAGAATAATTCGGTCCAAATGACGCATGCGTGTTTGCGCTCGTGGTCGCGGATGAGGCGGTCGAACTATATATCAACGTGTGCTAATTTCAAGCACGATGGTATAAATTTATTGATTATGTATAAAACCCATGATTCCTCCAAAGCATACTATTTTCTGACGATCAGCCAAACGTCATTATTCATGCACATTTTCCTTTTCGAAAAACAGCTATCTCATATATTTCAGAGACCAATCATTCTTACAGTTATCAGAGCGCCATTATTTTTCCAAAGGTAAAATGAATGGCTGCTTTAAGTTGTATTTGATAATTGTGCATGGAACCAAATGACTCTCTATTGACAAAGGATTGAAAGGACAGCTCAAAAATCTGTTTCAACTTTATGCCAGTGTCGATCCTATACATAGGCATCCTAAACGAATAATAATTTAATCAAATCATTTCCCTCTTGATTATGTGCTATTGCGAATTATAGTCTTCTACAACCTTATCTAATGGCTATTGCCTGCCCATGTCGTTCCTACGCCTTGTCGATCCTGCGCTGGTTCGACCATATGCAGTGTCCATTGTATATGTGTGACAACTCTGTGAAGGTGAAAAATGTGAATTAATCCTTTGACTCCTTACAACGTCTCTTTAAAATTTCTATTATACCGTGTTGCTCGTATGCCGGTAACTGTCGTTCATATGCCAGTGCCGATTCTATGGCGTGACTGACCTACGCAAAGTCTATGCAGTGTCGGTTCTAGACAGTATCTGTCATAAGTAAGGCTTAGAGTTATATAAATTAACTTCAAATTAAAAAATCAAACATATCAATCGGAAGATGAGAAAAGTCGTAAGCAGAAAATCAATATATATACGTATATATGCAGTGCACCGGGAACAACTCCAAGCGTCTGTGATAAAACATCTGGTAATTTAATGTAATGTAATATATTATAAAAGTCAAGATGAGTATCCAACCAATCAGTAAGATGACGTGAATTCCACCAAGTATTTTTGTTATACATTATAACAATAAAGTAAAAAACAAGAATACTAAAACAAATAGTGAACCTAATGCGTAAAGTATAAAAATAAAAAATAAGAAATCACAAATACATGGATTAATCTCCCTTGCCTGGAGCTTCACAACAGAACTCGTCAAGAGAAAAGTGTTTTGAAGCTCCATACCAGGTTGATCAACTAGATAGCTAAAACAAGTTTCGTTCCAACTAATTCACTGAGACCTGGAAGCGTAGAACTTAATCAAATAGTCAAAGAATTAGTAAAATTAAGAGTCTCATTGAATTGTCTCTTTCCCCTACCTGTTTTAGCTGTCTAACAACAAAAACAAGTGAATTGCGAAAGATATTTTTAAAAGACAAGTTATACGAACAGGCCTTTAAAAAAGAGTATCTATAAAACGTGAAAATCGGCGATACAAAGCCGAACCGCTAGAAACACTCAACGCCATTAAATCAAATCACTAATAATCACAGCACAACTGGCCTTGAATAGGTAGACACGTTCTAAAAATCAATTTCTGACACTCTTGTTTTTAAATAGCACTTCTTTCTATCTTAATATGAATAAACGCTCGCTGTCTCATTTGTATTCTGGCATGAAAAGCGTGGGTGAAAAGAGAGTAACAGAAAAGTAATCATATTAAAATGAAATATTAGATTACAATAAATAAATAAACCTCACATTCTCTTACGACGTGCTGTTACATGAAGTAATTTAATTCAGCTCTGTTAGTTTAAGAGATTGCTTGGAGAGATAATGTTGCAGTATAAGAACTAAACTTTAATTTATAAGTAAACTATTTTATAAAAATAGTATTGAAGTGTATTAAATGTTTTATCCTTTCTATTGATATGAATTCAAAAAGGATACACGAAAATAGAAGCGTATGTTTAGTGGTTTGAATTAACGCATTTGAGCACAGAGAATGGATAACAATTACCACTTTACGCTATTTTATCTTACTTACAGAGCAGCTGGTTCACTTGGAGATAGTGCTTATCAGACTGTTTAAACCAGTGGTTCTTAACCTTTTTGAGCCGCGACCCAAATTTGAGAAAAATGTTTATGTCGCGACCCAAAAATAGTCAATATTTTTTCATTGCTTTATTTTAGAGCATATTTGTAAAAACCTTTAATCTTACAATGATGACTTATTTAACTTACAATTTTTTTATTTTTTTATAATATAAAGTTAAACAAAAGTACTTTTGATCCAACAAAAATTTAATAAATAATCAAGTGTTTTTAATATTTTTATTGACCAAACTAAATAAATTTAAAACTTTTTAAAAAATAATTGAAATTTAATCTTTTATAATAAATTTTATACGCTTTTAATGGAGAACCTTGTGCTTGAATACATTTTGAAAGATCTGCAAAAACCTGGGTTGAATGCTTGTCAAGGAGCACCTTAAATCTATTTCTGGATTTAACTTGTTCCGGTGGTTGTTTTTGATTACACAGAGAGCCGAAAAAAAACCAGCCTCACACAATATATGTTGTTGAAAAGGGCAATAATACTTTTAGGGCTTCTTTAACAATTATTGGCTTTTCGGTTTTTAGATTTAACCAGAAAAAGCACATAAAAGATTGAGTGTTTTTGTAAAAAATTGTATCGAAGTGCTTGGTCACTTTGAATTTCTATTAATGTTAATTGTTCTGAAATTGATTAATATTAACAAATTCCTCATGCAAATCACTTACGTCAAAATCAAATAGCATTCGAACCCAATTATAATAAAAAACATGGTCTGCAGGAAAATACCGATCAAAGTCTGCTATTAGTTTTTTTCTAAATGATTGATAATAATTTTCTGTTATTTCAAAATCTGTGATATTAATATTCTTGTCTTCAACAAGTAAATTAAGAGTCGGAAATGAAGCAAGTTTCTTTACTTCCTTAACTTATTTCTCCATAATTTGAGTTTATTTTTAAAAACATGTAATTTTTTCAGTTAATTCAATAATAGTATGATTACGTCCTTGCATAGACGTATTTAGATTATTTATTTCAAAACAAAAAATATCTGCCAAATAAGCAACTTGAGTAATCCACTTCAACTCGGAGAATTTAGATGCTAATGGGTGTTTCTTTTCTCTCAAAAAAAAAATTCGACTTCTGTCCGCAATGATAATACTACTCTTGAACAACTTTGCCCCGAGACAGCCATCTAACTTCAAAGTAATATAATAATGTTCGTATTCTGCACCAACTTCTGAACACAGTTCGCGGAAAATTCTACAGTTAAGAGCTCTTGATTCTTGATTTTATAAAATTGACTACCGTAACAATTTCATCCAAAACGATACTTAATTCGGGCGATAATATTTTTTGAAGCAAGATTTTGTCTATGTAAAAAACAATGAACCGATAAAATTGTGAATTCATTTGTTTTGCTCTTGTCGAAAAACCCCTTTTGAGATGCTGTCATGGCAGCTGCACCGTCGGTGCAAATACTGAAACACTGATTCCAATTTAATCCTTCTTCTTTAAAAAACGAATCGACAATGAGAACTTCACCTCTAGTTTTTGTTGACATGATTTGCAAAATAAAAAAAATCCTCCTGTTATATCTGTTAACCCTGGATACCGCACGTAAACCATTAGTGAGCATCGTTACTTACATCTGTCGTTTCATCCAGTTGAATACTAATAAACCAACAATTTTTATAGCAGAAATAAGTTGATTTGATTCTTAATATCAAACGACATATCATTAATTCGTAAACGAATTGTATCATTTGATAATGGTACCTTTTGTAATTTCTTTGAAATTTCATCTCCGCACATGATACGTGCCATGTCAATGGCAGCAGGTTTTATAAGTTTTTTCAGCAATATTATGGGGTTTCTTTTGTCTTGCAATATGCCAAGCCACATAAAAAGAAGCAAGTGTAGCTTGTTTGCTAGAAATTAGAAAACTATTACTACTTGGT